TGTAGTACACACCCAGTAAATGCTATCTCTATTGTTAGTTTATGAATTCTCTGCTGGGAGGGGACAGTGCACAGCATCAGCCCTTGGGTCTCTTTCTTGGCATTGACCAGAGTAGTAGATTCCAAAAATGCCAATAAAAACAGCCAACAGCCTCTCTCTCCCACAGTGCTCTAGCAAGGGCTACTCATTCCAGCCCCAAGAGGGACCCATATTTATTTGATTCTCATAAAAAAGCTCTTCCCTTCCCTCAATCAGCCTCCTCCATGGACACCATGGACACGTCACGTGCCCACTGTCCAGCTATACATAGCTCAGGCCCAATATGAGGGCAGCCAAAAATGACAGGAGATTACCAGAGATAAACGTCAGCTCTCCGGTTTCAGGCGAGGACCCACAGTTGTTGAATAGTTTGACGTGTTGCCAGATGGTATCAGGGACAGGGGGTAAAAACAGCCATTTGGCTCTTGGCTGCCATGGAAAAGGCAGGATTACAGCCAGGGTATTTTTAATGACTGGCTGAGGGACCTTCGCTTTGGACAGAGATTTGTGACATTTCTTCCCAGGGTCCTCAGTTCTTGATTTTTTTTTTCCAGGCTCTTGCTGAAATTAACCCCTACTATCTCCCTTTGAAAGGTGATTCTTTTCTTTTTCCTTACTCCTCCACTCATCTGCCACTTTCCCTCTACCCAGGAAAGAAATTCACCTTTTTCCTCCAAAGGCAGCTCTTGGAAGTGGTACAAATGCATCTTTCTTTCTGTCCTTTTCCCTGGATCAGACCCGATAAATCCCAGGAAGGGACTGGACTTCAAACACATACATGGGCGTGCTGCATGTGCTGTCCTCTGAAACCCAGAGACAGTCAGTCACTCAATCCAGGGAGCGTGTCTTTCTCACTGCTGCATGAGTTTACCCTCCTTTGACAGGCAAACTTCTTAACAGTGATCCATACCTGCTCAGCTTGTCCTTGCCACCCATTTAACTGTTTAGCTTCCAAAACTTTGGCTTCTGTCCCAGCTTTTCTCTACAAGGTCAACTGTGACTTACCAGTCCTGAGAGCAGAGACCTCTTGGACTCCCACCCAAACTTGACTTCCTGTAGCATTTAATCTGACTGCCCACTCCTTCGTGACTTCGGAGTCCTGGCTCGATGATACTTGCCCTCCTCCTGCACTCCCAACAGCGCCCCTCTGCTTCCAGAACGGGCTCATCTTCAGCACTTGCCAGCAGGACAGCCGACCCCTGGCCTTGTGGCTTTCTCATCCACTCACCTCCTAAGGATATCACTGACTCTTGTGGGACTTTACTCTGAGCCTAGGCTGCTCAACCCCATCTGAACCTGAGCTGAGAAACGCACCTCCACTTCTGACACGCTGTCTTCGTGTCACTGTCATTCCTCCATTCCGTGCTGCAAACCCTGGACTCACCTTGCCTTCACCTTCTCTCCTCACTCCAGAGCCAGAAAAGAGCTACAAGTTCTGACTGGTTCCCAGTCAGACCACCACCCACACAAGGGACTTCTGCTCGCTGTGCCGCCTTCATCTGAGACCAGAGCCGTCTCCATTCAGACCATGGCATCGGCCTCCCCGCTGGCTTCCCTTCCCTCCCACTCTGCTTTTTCTCTGTCTGCTCTGTGCCCTCAAATCCACCTGCCCTAAACACAAATTTGTGTTCATAGTTTTCTTCGACTTGAACAACTCCCCAAGCAGAATTTTCATTCCTGGTATTCAAAGTATTTCTCACTCTGATATTCCAGAAACACAGGGCTCCTTTCTGACCCCCAAATAGACTGTTCTAGTTGAATTGCTCTGCTCGTCAGACAGTCTGTTCTACACCCCACACACGCCTATCTATCTCCAAACCTTTGTCCTGTTTTTACTCCCTGGGATGTCCTTGCCATTCCTCTCTGCCCATCCACCTACTCCTCTTTCTAAATCTTGCTGGCCCTGGCCGCCTTTCTTCTAAGCAGCCTCCGCATTCATTCATTCATTTAAGACACTACTAATTTTGAGATCTACTCATCTGCTCAAGTTCCACACTCGATGCTAGAGACAGCATGGGGAGAAAGACAGACATGGAGATGGAGCTTACAGTGTAACACATACGTGGTGAACAGACAGCCATCGTGGAAGTTCATGGGTACATACAGACTGCAAAGGAAAAGCACAGAGTACCATGATCAAGAGTAAAAAGAGCACCCAACTGAGAATAGGAGTCTGGGAGCACCTTTTGGGGAGTTGATGTTTTAGTGTGAGTGTCAAGGAGAGCAGACATTGGTGATGAATGTGGAGAAGTCTTCTAGATTTATCCAAGGAGTGTGTGGATGTGCAGAGCATGCTATTATGCCTTTGTGTGAATTTAGAATAAGATGGCTCCTGTGGGGAAGTGAACCTGTGCCCAGTGAGGGAACAGGCTGTGGGGGAAACCTGTGTAAAGACCTGAGGCAGGAAAGAGCTCGATGTTTTGAGAGGCTAAAGAAGAATGCGTTAAGATGTCCTAGGACCCTGAATAAGGCAGAAACGGTCAGCTGGCCAAACCATGCACAGCCTGCTGGCCATCCCAGGGATTTTAGATTCATTCTAAAACGCACAGAAATTAAATGTGCAGTACTTATCACAGCCCACTCAGCTCTGTGCAATTTGACCTCCCTGCCATGAGCTCTCTCTAAGTCTCTATAGCCCTTGTTTTCACTGCAGGTGCTTTAATTTCCCCCTGCAATATATCAGAATGTCCCTAAAGCTGACATGTGTCTTACACATTTTTGTTTTGCACATTTCCTTGAACATAGTAGATGCACAGGTAGTGATTACTTTTCTCTCCCCTTTCCAATACTTCAGGTTTTGGTATTTTTGAATTGGCAGAAGATCCAGGATCATAACCAGCTGCCTTAATGTCAAGAAGAAGATCTAACATTTATTAAGCCTTACTGCATGTCAAGTACCATGCCAGGTGCATCACGTTATTTCAGTTAATCTTTAAAAAATCCCTATGAAATAGATATTATTACCATCCACATTTTTATAGTGCAATCACAGCACAGGCTTGTAACCAAGTCAGGGACTCGGGGTCTCTGAGACCAAGCTCCGTGCTCTTAACCACTGGGATCTACTACCCATGAGTTATTTAAAGATGACAGCTACTTGGGCCATATTATTCTAGAGATAGCAATGTAGCAATAAGTACATACAAAATGCAACATTGAAAAAAGGGAAGAAAACATATATACTATAAATATTCATTCTTTTACCATTGAATTATACATATTATTTAGATAAAACTTTTGAGGGGGTTGAGACAGGGTCTTGCCATGAGGTCCAGTCTGGCCTTGAACTCACTGTGTAGCCCAGGCTTGCTATGAATTCATGGAGATCCTGCCTCAGCCTCCTAAGTGCTGGGATTACAGGTATGCACCACCATTCCTGGATCTTATATAGAATCTTTTAAAAGTTCTTTTTGTACTCCAAAGAATCAGCATAAGTCAAACCCTAATATTTCCAGAAGGACTGAGTACTGTGCCAGTACCCAGGCACGGCACATAATTAATTAATAGATGACACCGTTCTCTAGAATAAAATGAAAACAGGCCAGGCTGAGAAGTAACCAGCCAAACAAAACCAGCAGGTAAACAGTTGCAAATTACAGGAAAGAATGGCAGTCCCACCTGAAGAGTATTATAGGTTTCTGGACTTTTAGGAATCATTGACTCTACCTTTATTTTTCCTCATGTACGAGGAACAGCCCTAAGTCAGAGTATTAGGTGACAATTTCATCTTGCCCTCTTGTCTCACAAGCTCCTTGAATTTGTGAAGTCCTTGGGCCAGTTCATCCATTCATCCCCAATTATCCTGAGTGTCTCCAAGGAACGGTGCCAGGTGCAGAAGAGGGACAGGCTTTCGCTTCAGGGAGGGAAGGATCACAGTGGAGAAGAGACTTGTACTTAACTCTAACGATTCCAAAGTATGTGCCTGTGCGATGTTCCTGTGACGAGCTACTGGAATTGCAGAAAGGAGGTCAGGGTGGAGGATGAGCCGAGAACCATGCTTTGTAGATTTGGGTGGCCATGCCTCATGGTGACCCGAGAGAGCGCATGAGACTGGGATGAGGCAGAGAAGAGAGCAGGTGAGCTGGAGATTTAGGGCTGGAGGAGGATAGGAGGAGGCAAGGCTGAGCCAAAGCATGAGGCAGACAGAGTCCCACCTGCTCTGCCAGCCCATCAGGCCTCCTGGTCTGCAGGATGTCTCATCAGTAGTTGTTCTAGGAGGTCCCAGGCTCTCACCACAGCCCTTCTCCCCACTCGGTTTCAAAGTGGTCTTGGGCTGCTGCCAGCCTTGGCCTCCCATAAGCACCCATGAAGGTGCTTGCTCGGGCTGAATGCTCACTGGGCCTAACATGCTGCTGTCTGCCCAGAGTAGTTTTCAGCCATCTGTCCATCTAGGAGACTGCTGTCTCCTCCTCACCTTTGGGGTGATGGTCCTCCACCCCAGAGGCTCTGGTTCTTCCTCTCTGTGGGCTGTAGGAAGCCTCCAGAGCCCATCAGGAGGGGCCTCCTGGGAATTCCTACTCCTCAAGTCCAGGGAGGAGGGGGCTATGCTTGAAACTGGAGCCTCTTTTATCCTTGTGCCCCACCTCAGGTTTACTTGGCTGCTGAGCGAGGGCTCAGGGTGACAAAGGTGTCAGGTATGCATGGGTGTGAGAGTACTCTACTTCCCTTCCCCTTCTCTTCTCTTTCCCCAAAGGCAGAAAAGAGTACGCGACACTGTTACAATCTTCCAAATCTTACTTCTTAATTCTGTCCCTCAGATGTTCTGTCTTTGGTTCTTGGCACGTCATTGACTTATTCTCCTCTGGTACAAGTGTAGGATCCTTTTGCTGCTGCTTGAATTGGTCACAGAGTAGCAGGGAGTTTGGAGGAAAACCCTCCTATTAGCACATGAGAGTACTGTCTTGTGATTTCTCTACCATCTTTCTGCCGTTAGCCCACTTACCTCCTATTTGTCCCTGCAGCTTGTGGCCCAGGTCCTGGAACATAAAGATATAGGCTTTGTGATGGTGGATGCCAAGAAAGAAGCCAAGCTTGCCAAGAAACTGGGTATGTGTGATGTTTGAGATTTTTTCAGGAAGAAACAAATGTGTATTGCAAAAAAAAAGTACAGTTGCCTTTACTCTTGTATGATAACTGGGCTACATTTTGAATATATATAAAATGATCTCACCTATCTTGGGCTGGGAAAGAGTTTCATAAAAGTAAGTCTAGGCCTGAATGGAATGGTTTAACATCAGTCATTTAATATACCTTTATATCAGTGCCAAGAGGGTCTCCCAGAAAAACTGATGCTGGAGACCGAAGCCTTAATTTCCAGTTCGTAAAGTAAACTGAAATACCATCTCCTCTATTGCAGCATACAGAAATCTTGCTAAGAATTACACACTCTCCTCCCACCACCTATGATTTTCTCATCTCTCAGCAGAAGCAACCAACAAAAGACAGTGCTAGAGGTAGCAACGCCAGGGTCTCAGGGCTTTCTCATTTAAGGGTAAACCCCAGCTGGACATTATCACCAAAGACGAGAGGGAGGCTTTAGGTGAGATATGGTTAAGTGACTGCACGATGGAAGTTGTAATCTCTTGTGTCAATATGTCACGCTTAAGTGCAAATGCTCTTTGAGATTCTTACCCTATAATCCCAAGGAGGGGGATATAGGTAACTCCTCATTTTCAAACATTCTCACTCATGTGCTGGCTATTTGGCTTTTTCTGCATGACTAGTGAAGGATGGCTATTAAAAAAATAGGAAGAGGTTATAAAACAGGACCTTTGAAAAGAGGTTAATTGAATTTGCAGTAGTAAGCACAGAAAAAAAATAAGTTCAGTGGCACTTCAATAAATACTTCCAGGTATATGGAAGTTTATTTCTCTAGAAATTTACAAATGACTATTTTCTAGGAGCTCAGCCTTTTAAAAATTATTTAAATTGTAGGAGACAATTTAGATATAGGAAGAACTCATGGCTGTAAAATGATAATGACTTGTTAAGCATGCCTGGGGTGTCTCTGTCCCTGAAGACATATTAAGGAATATTATTTTTCCTCCTTGAGCATGGGAACAAAGTATATTAAACTCTTTTCCTACAGTCAAAAGCAATTTAATGAGTTCTCTCCTCTCCCACAGCTGACTGATCCCCATTCATCTCCCTTTCCATTGTTTTAACAAATATGTTGTATTCTGGAGACTTTTCAGTACACTTAGAAAAAAGTGCTAGTGTTCTGGCAATATATAAATCTAGGGAGGACAAACTGTGCAGGAACTGATAAAAGTGAATTAGTAAAGGACATGATGGGGCTTAATATATATAAATAAAATTCTCTCCAAGTTCAGCTTAGAAGGGAAGATTGCATAGTTCAATGGTAGAGCACTTGGCTAGCATTATAAAGCCCTGGGCTCAACCCGCAGTACTTCAACAAACAAACAAGCTGAGTTCGGAGGAACTGAGGGAAGTTCTCAGGCTGCTGGACCCTTGGGGTTTATAGGACCTAGTTTTATTTGGGAATCTGCTCCCTCATCTTCATCCCCTCTCCCATTTGCCTTAACAGTTTGGCTTCCATCAGGCTGTGCCTGAGCTACTTTAATAGCCTCCAAACTGGCTGTTCTCAGTACAAAATCTAGCATCAGGACACTGGCTGATGTCCCTTCACTCGGGTACCTTTAGAGGTCGGCCATCATCAGCTTCAAGAATACCTCATGGTGCTCCTTTGAGTTTACAAACAGTGTGCCAGGGCCTCCTTAGGTAAGGCCTGAGACAGACAGCAAGTGGGAGTCCAGCTTTCCTGTCCCTGGAGGGCCTGCAGAAGAGTTCCTTTGGAGAAAGCATTCTCCCACTAATAGTTTGGAAACAATTCATCTAAGGAATTAAAGGGGATGTGCGGTTGGAATAAGTTCTGGCCTCAGCTATTTAACATTCTTGAGGGAAAATGCAGTTTTCCACTAAGTATTTGTTAACGTATACAGCATTACACTAAGGGTGCTGGAGGGTAGCAGAGGAGAAGATGGAACCTTCCCTTGCAGTACCTATCAGCTAACAGGGTAAAGAGGATGTGTGTGATTCTGCTAGAACAGGAATACAAGCTATTCAGTGCAGCCACATACATTTAGGGGGCGCTGATCAATTTGTCTAGGCTCTGTGCAAGGCACAGATACCGACAAAACAATGATCCTACCCTCACAGGATGAGCACTGTTAGATGAGTGCCTACAGACTGATGATGGCATGAGCTCACTGAAGCTGGATTAACCATAGGGAAAATGAGCCATAAGCTGAGTCCCAAAAGAACTAACCAAGACAAGGTGAGACGGAAATCACTCCAGTTTTTCAGAACAAGGAGAACATGAGCGTGCGCGTGCACGCACGCGCGCGCGCGCACACACACACACACACTTCTTTTTTTTTTTTTCCGGTACCAGGAATTGAACTCAAGACCTCATGCTTGCCAGGCAGGAGCTGTGCCACTGAGCTATATCCTCTGCCCATGTATATATATTGTATACACCCTTTTATATCAGCATGTGAGCAAGAAGCAAAGGGGTTACACAAGGGACTAGGGATCAGTTCTCAAAGGACTATGGGTCAAGCCAAGGATGAATGGAAGTAACAGAGTTGGCACTAGATGTTGGAGGGACTTGAGTGCCTGGTTAAGGAGTCAGATGCGCAGTGGGTATTCAAATTTTTTGATGAGGAGAATAACATGGGTTCAGCAGTAGTTTTGGAAAACTAAAGCAGTGGTAGGTGGAAAATAAATTTTTCTTTCAAATTAAAATCCGGGTGAGGGGCTGGGGATTTAGCTCAGAGTCACAGCACTTACCTGGCAAGCATAACGTCATGAGTTCGATTCCAGGTACTGGAAAAAAAAACAAAAAAACAAAACAAAACAAAACAGAACAAAACCCTAAAATCCGGCTGAAATTGTTAATTCTTATTTCAGTTTTAATGTCTATTTGCAGAACCCTTCAAAAGTATTGTTTTGACAGAACCTGTCCTTAGGTTAATCCAGCTCCACTGATCCTGACCCCACAGTCACTCAGAGTGATTTTTTGTCCTTGGGCTTTTTTGTTTCTTCCAGGTTTTGTTGAGGAAGGAAGCCTCTATGTGCTTAAGGGTGACCGCACAATTGAGTTTGATGGCGAGTTTGCAGCTGATGTCCTGGTGGAGTTTCTCTTGGATGTAAGCATTTTATACAGTGTCCCTGTATGGAGATATCTGGACTCAAATACAGGGGGAGGTGAAGTCCCAGAGGAAGAACAGAAAGCTGGAAATTCTGATGTGGTCTAAGACAGGTTTTTTAGCCTTCGCAAAAGACTAAACAGTGCCCATATCACAGTGTTATCTACCTTTTCTGGGAGCTGACCTCTAAGTCACCCCAAATACTGATTATTAGTGACCTGTGGGTCACAGATCTGGACCATGTAGTAGTTAAATGCTAATTCCTTTACTAGTTATACCCCAGTGCTCACTGAAATTTCCTTGGCTTGCTCCAGGGCTGCTGGTGAGGAGTTGGCAGTGCAGACACAAGGGGGATAACAAGTCACACAGAGAGGAGGAATCACTCAATGAGTCACCCTGAGATAGCCTCAAAGCAGCATAAAAAACAGGCAGAGCTACAGAGTACCCCCAAATCACTCACTTTCAGCCATGAAGAGACCACACGCAGACCTATACATTCAGATGAATGGAGGAAACACCAAAAGAGTTTTATTCATAGATAAATCAAACTTTCAGTAATATATGTGAAGTTAAATGCTTTGGAACACATGCTTCACACAAAGAACTTGCTGTTGAACATCCATACAGATCATTCCTTATCTACCAGCCTGTACCCAGTGGCCTACTGCTTTCCCTCTACAACCTCAAAAGCCAGAGAAAAGATCAGAAGTGAGCTGAAGACCACCATCTATAAAACAAAATGTGACCATAGCCTCTGCTTGGCTCTCTCTTTGGCCTATCCTGGCAAGACCTGAAAACCTTAAAAAAAGCAGCATCCTAACTCCAGGCTAACATGGCACTGCCTCAACTTCCCCAGCTAGGAGACTTTGGGAATGAGACTCTAGCCACTTTAAACAATGAACAGTGTGATTGACCCACATAAATGGTAGAGTTACAATTTTGACTTATCAAATTGCAGCTCTGGCACTGTAAATCACAAATAATTATGTTTTGAGTGTGTGGCCTTTGTCCTCAAGCTGCGTCTGCCCATGTTAGCTTTAAGATGGTCAGAAGCAGGTGATGTATCACACTGATTCATCCATATCCAGTGAGAGAGGGAAAACCCCAAATATGGCTTCAAACCAGTGCTCTTTAAGGGTCAAGAAGAACATATGCTTCAGCAAATTTAACCCATTGGACCAGAGTTGGGCGAACTGCCCATTCCTGAATCAGTAAGTGACAATAGAGGTTATGAAAACAATCTATTTGTCCACCAATGGATACATAAAGAAAATGTAGTCCAATAAAATATTATCCAACTTTTATAAAAGAAATTTTGTAATTTATGACAATATGCATGGAACTGGAGAACAACATGTGTAATAAGCCAGGCACAGAAAGACAAATGCATGTTTCTACTTATACATAGAACCCAAAACAATTGAACTGAAAAAGAAGCAGAGAGTAGAATGGTGGGTACCAGAGACTGGGGTAGGGTAGGACATGGGGTAATGATGACCAAATGGTGTAGAGCTGTAGTCAGACGGAAGGAATACAGGCTTTTTTCCCCTTTGAGATACCTTGAATGATGTGGAGAATACAGCAATTAACATATTATACACTCCACAACTGCTAAGAGAGTAAATTTCAAATGTTCTCATAACAAAATTTATAAGTATTTGGGATAATGGATATTTAAATAGTTTGACTTAATTATTCCACAGAGTATTCATAATTCATAACATCATTTTATAACCCATTAGTGAAAACAGTTATTATTTGTCAATTTACAATTAAAAATAAAGAAAACACTAGCAAAAAATTTTTGCTTCAGATCAACCATCCCATCCCTTGAGTTAAGATCAATTCCTCCGATAGCACAGCTGCTGTACTTCCTGGGACAGAGTGGGATGGATGGTCAGGGTCCAAGCCATGAAAATCCACTACAATTTCCCCTCCAAGAGGTCTATTTCCTCACCGCAGAGGGAAAGGTTATCTTATCTGAACACATTTGTGAGCATGTGTGTGTGGGATTTCAGCTGATTGAAGACCCAGTGGAGATCATCAACAGCAAACTGGAGGTCCAGGCCTTTGAACGCATTGAGGACCAGATCAAGCTCATTGGCTTTTTCAAGAGTGAGGACTCAGAATGTAAGTTGTCTGTCAACCCCGCCTGGCAGTAGAAGGCTAGATTCCCAAGGAGCACTGTTAGATTATCCCAACAGAAGGTGGGCCTTCAGCATTTCATTTGCTAGGGGGAGTAGTGGTTGGAATCCTTCGGTATCCTGTGCAATAGGATACATGCAGAAATTGTGGAAAACAGGTCACTGGGCTAAAAAAAGGCTAAATTTAGGCCAGGTGCTCTGGCCTTACAATGGTGTGTGTGTGTGTGTGTGTGTGTGTGTTCTATAGACAAGAGAAGAACCTTTCTTCCACCTCCCCGCCTGCCCACATCCATGATGGAGTCGCCTCTAAATAGGGTCCTCAGTAGGCTGCCAAAGTGCATCGGCAGCTCCTGCAGTCACCAGCTGGAGAACTTCTGTCACTGGAAAACATCAGAAGAACATTTGGGTGGGGATAGGCCTAGATGCTAAGAATACGGCAAATTGCTAGCTGAGCCCATCACTGACCACCAGGCTGCCTGCCATTACCAACCGCACTCTTGGGCATAGTCCCTCTGCCGGCTTTGTGGCCAAGGTTTGGGTGGGTACAGACCTACCATAGCATCACCACCCTGGTCAGGGATGGGAGGGGCTGAGTGGATGTCAGGGAGAGGGGCCAGGAAAGGCAGCTACTGGAGTACATTAAAAAAACAGCTTTGGTGGCCTGGTCCAGTGAGTTAAGCCTTGTTCTTGTGTGTCAGCCTTTAAGAGAGGGAAGGTGGCAGAAAGCACGGGCATAACTGTCGGAATCTGGGAGCATTGGTACAAGCAGGAGGCGCAAATACGGGCTGCATATGACTACTTCTAGAAATCCCAAAATATTTTGAAGTTTTGTCGAACTGTTTCTTTACCCAGTCTGCCCGCTAACATCCTTAGCCACTGCAGGAACACCCCACCTGTTCGCTCTCCCTCTTGCCCCAGTATAACCGTCTTCTCATTTGCTTCACTGAAGCCTCCATTCCCAGTGCTTAAGGTGAGTGTATTAGGGGCGGTGCTGGCCAGGGCGTTTTGCCCCTGTTCTGTCTGGACCAGTGCTGGCTGTTCCAGTGAGTGCCTTCTGTCCTGCCCCCACTGTATCCTTTGCATATGGAGAATTTCATGCTCACAACAAGCCCGTGAAGTAGTTATCACTGTTGCCTGCAATTTAATGATGATCAGAGGATACAGCACAAAGTTTTACTAACTCACCTATTATCACACAGCTAGCAAATGGTGATCACCATTTAAAGTCCAAGAATCTGACTTTAAAGTTCACACATGAAGCGTGGTAATGCTTGTAGGCATAAAGTGAGCCTCAGCTGGAAGGGAATTGGACTTAGTGAAAAGTTTTTTGTTTTTTTTTTTTTACTTTGTATTATATAAGAATAAAATATAACAAATATTATATTATAAAAATTCAAACAAATACTTGTAGATTTTGAATAAGAATCTTGACTCTGCTTCCAAGAACCCAGTTTTTTGATATTAGGTGTTATGCCTGGGCTTATACAATTCCTGAGCAAGGTTCTGAGTGATGAGCTCTTTAAAATCTTGTTAGTCATCATTAACCACATGTATATATGGTTGTGGCATATGAATAGGCAATTTATTTTGATGGATTGAACCCAGGGCCTCATGCGTGCTAGGGAAGCCCTCTATCACTGAAGGACATCTCCAGCCCCTCGGCTCTTTATGTTTTACTAAGGAATATTCTTTTCTTGCCACTAGATATAACTCAGGTAATTCAATCTCTCAATTTCCCTTCAAGGGTATGAACATATCTTTGTTTCACCACTATGATTTTTCCTTGACAAGTAATACTCAGATTCCTTGTGGTAATGCGACTAGATTGAAAATCTAATGAAGCATTTTTATATCTTATTATATGTAAAATAAAACAAGGCATTCCTTAGAAATAAGCAGATATTAATCTACTGATCTTACTAATTATTCTTAAAATCTGAAATAATAACATTAATAGTGAACCATTTTAACTTTCCTTTTAGAGTTGAACTTTCTTGCTCTTAAATTAATAAATCTTGTCTGTACATTGCATACATCACATGGTTCTTTCAACTTTGAATGAAGTGCATTCAGGTGCTAAGTAAAGCCCCAGAGTTTTGGAGGCCAAAAATTGTCTTTCAAAATGAAAATCATTCCAAATTTATTTTCCAATCCACTTCTTAGATAAACTCCTTATAAAACTGTCTTTGGATAGGGAAAGGGCTTCTGAAGCTGCTTCTTCCCTGAGAGCTACAGGAAAAGGGGTTATGCAGGCTTACAAGTTGTTGGTCACCTTTTTATGACAACCTTTTATGTGGAATTCAAATTCCTATGGAAAACTTTATATGACAGAGCTTTTAATAAATATTTGAATAAATATCAATTGATCTCAAGATTTTCACAGAGAACTTCATGTAAATGCGGTTGCAGCCATACCACCAGTACACAAATCAGGCAGTTTTTCCAGTCTACTGTGATGTGTTCATCTGCTTCTTTGATGGTTTCATCCCCAACAACTCCCTTTGGTTCTTCTTTGTAAGATAAGTATTACTCCAAGCATTTCTCCTCAGGGTGTCTAGCTGGTGCTACTAACCACTGAGTCTGATATACTAAATACAGCCTGGAAAATTCTGAGGGAGAGGGAAGGGAGTGGGAAAAGCCTAATCTTTAGTAAGTGAGAAGGGTAGGAGTTGAGAGTTGAGGATTACTCAACACTATAGAGCAGACAACAAGACCAGGTACCCTGGAAAACAGCTGCTGTTATGGTGAGGCTAAAGGTTCAACCACATTTCAAACTACCAACCCGGAGAGTCACCTTGCTCCATCCTCTGTCTTAAAAATGATGCAGACAGGACCCCTGGGAGAAGACCCAGAGGACTAGGCTGCTCTTCCGTCCGGACAGGAGATCGTGGAAGTGACAAAGGATTGATCGGGAATATGGGGGAGAGGGACAGCAACCTTGATGATGCCCACCGCTGCCTGGACATAGCTTGAGCTGCCCCGCTGCCGCAGCTTCTCTCTCCTCATTCTTCAAATGCCCGCACCTGTCTTTTTTCCATCTATCCGTCCTACCCCAGCTATCATGTACCTGACATTTTTCCTGACTTTTTATTACTTTTATGGAATGAGTTTGGATGAGTACATATGATCAGCAGGTACCAGTGTTTTTGTAAATTTTCAACCCCTGTGTCCTATGCTTGTTGCTGTCACTTCTTTTAGAGCAACTATCACACTGCATTGTGATTCTTTTAAGAGCCCAAAGCCCTCTATGGGATGAGAGCATTCAGAGATCTGTATCTTTGTCTTATTCGTCTTGGTCTCCCCTGAGGCAGCATTATTCTAAAATAACATTTTACAGAACCCTGAAAGATTCTTCATGGTCCCAGAATTCTAGCAAAAGCTTATACTTTTTTTTTTTTTTTTTGTACCGGGAATCGAACTCAGTACCTTGCGCTTGCCAGGCAGGCACTTGTATATCCCCGGCAAAGCTTATACTTCTGATAGGTAAGAGATGCAGAATGTGGAAAAAAGTTGATCTTATTAGAATAAATTGCAGGCTCAATGATGCTTGGAATTGTAGAATTTATGCAGAATCACCAGAACCACCATAATCACCATTACCATCACCCACACTTCCAAAGTTTGAATATGGCTATTTTGCCAAGTACAACAATTGCCTACATAGAACAAAGTGCAGCATCCCCACGGTGACATGGTTTCAGGCCTACCTTGGCAGCTTAGACTAGAGTGTGATATCAGACAGTCAAGCACAGGCTTGATGAAATTCAAATGATTCCCAAAAAATCAGAGAAAAGAAAGGAAAGAAAACTAGGACTCACCAACGGGGGTAGTCATGACAAGGAGCTTAAAATTCTTCTGTGATGTCAATTTTGGCTACAGTCCCTTTACCTGAATGAATGTTCTTACTTGGGTTAATTTATATACTATACTACAGTCTCGAGAGGTTACATTCATAAGAGCAGTAAGTTTGAGTAGAAGGACTTTCTGTTTCGATATAGAGTTTCACATGTCTTTGTTTTCCTCCTTGTCTTTTTCACTTCTCTTGTTTTCTGCTTTCCAAAGTCATAAAAGTGTGGTGAAGACGTCTTTTGGATGATTGACTGCCAATCAATTCAGACCCCTTGGTGGAAGCCATGGCTTTCAGTAGTACTAAGCAGTTAGCTATCTAAATAATACCTGCTAAATAATTACTAAATCAGGATTAATTGGCTTCCTCCTCTCTATATGTCATTTAAAAAGAGAAGTCTGCTGTGCACCTCTTAAAATTTTTGTCATTTTTTTTCCTGCTAGATTATAAAGCTTTCGAAGAGGCAGCTGAACATTTCCAGCCTTACATCAAGTTCTTTGCCACCTTTGACAAAGGTGTAAGTACCTGTGAAACCCTAATGTAAATACTGTTGTAGGCATAAAGGATTAAAGTTTGAACTTTCTACCTCTTGTTCTTTTCTTTGAACAACATTAACCCTCCTCCTTTATCTTTTTCTCTGGAGGTATTAGAATGAGAGCTGAATGAAAACATTTTTAAAAGGATATAGGGAAACCTCTCAAAGTATACAAAGAAAAATGACAGCCCACCTTTAAGCTCCTATACCCCAAGAACAAGAAACTTGTGTGCCCAGAGTATGGCGGTCCACTGTTCCCTTTTTCCTCTCCCTTTCTGGGCGTGCGCCTTTCCCCTTCCTCTGTGATGGGGTGGGAAATTGAACGGGGAGGAACACTGCCTATCTGAAGCCATTGAGCTTTGGAAAGTTACTTCTGGGAGAAGTTGTTGATATACCTTTATACGACCCAGTTGGTCCTCTTCTCTGAGTGTGACAAGTGATCTTATATACCAAAGAACAGCAGAGACTAAGAGACCTTGAACCTACGGGTGATCTATTTGGAGTCTAGGCAGCCGAGTGCTCCCCTCCAAGTCCTGTTATTACTAACACGACCACCGTTTATTAAGTGCTTTCTATGTGTTGGGCACAGTTGGATATAAAGGCAACTCTCCATATCTGTGGAGCTCCATCTCCACTGGTTGCATAATTTGAGGAAGGAAAATAACTACAAACAATTAAGTCTGCAGTAAACACGTTCAAACCTTTTTCTTGTCATTATTCCCTAAACAGTTTAATAAACACTTACATAACATTTATATCATATTGGGTATTGTGAGTAACACAGAAATGGTTTAAAGCATATGTAGGAGGCATGTAGCTTATATGCAAACACCACATCATTTTTAGTACGGGACTTCCGCATTCAAGGGAATTCTGGAATCAATTCCCCACGCATACCAAGGGATGACTTTGTTGTGTCTTTATTATCCCTACTCCTGCAAACAACTTTGACAGGTAAAAACTCCCACTTCTCATATGAGGAAACAAACTTACAAAGATTAAATAATATACAAGGTCTCCAGTGAACTGATGGTAGCCCTGAGATCCCAATCTATGCCCCAAACTCTGCCTCTGTACTATGACATTAGATAGAACACCCTATGCCTGCCCTTGAGGGTCAGGGTGCACAAACACACAACAGAAATAACACATACAACCACATACATCACATACACACATCACAGTACAGATAACACACACTCCCAACTGAAAAACAAAATTATTATATTTGATAGAACAAATGAATCTAAGACAAACTAACCCTTTAATCAAATACAAGTCAAAGTTCATCAGAAAATGGCCTCCTGAGGATTAAGGCAGTTGGTGAGCAGTGCTTGTGGCTTTTATTCTGGGATGAGTTCAGATATTTTAGAAAAATAAGAGAGGTTAACAGATGTAGGAATAAGAAAGGGCCCAATGAAAATAAATCACATTTGATTCATATGTGTGTGTGTTTGTGTGTGTGTACAACTATTTCTGTGGCTATGGGCACTGTCCTCAAGCCTATGATACAAAAAAAAGTCTATAATCTAAGTAACAGAATAGAAGTTTGAAATAAATTTACCCTAGTTGGCTGGATTTTAGAGTTGGGAGAGATCTTGAGCAAGAACATCAAAATACTAATAATTATCCTTACTAAGTACTTATGTGGCAGACTGTGTCCTGAGGGCTTTATGCAGGCTTTCTCATTCCATCCCTTCAGCAAATCCATAAGAGAAAGATTAGGCTCTTATTCCTCAGGGGAAGCTGAGGCACTGAGAGATCAAGTGATTTGCCGTGGTCACAGAGCAACAGTAAAGCTGGGTGTAGTCTCAGGCTGACCTAATTTCAAAGTCAGTGCTGGGTGCTACCATGCCCCAGAGAAAGGAGCAGTATAGATTAAATCCCCAGTTGGTGTTTGGTGCATATAAACATTCAGAAAATATCAGCTAGCTAGAAGAATGGTTGTGATTAATAAGAAAAGAGTCATCTAGGCCCAAGATGATGGGAGGTTGGACAAGGATATTAGAGAAGAGGAGCCTACACTGAAGCCTGTGCTGGATTCGTCACCGGCATTTGGTTCACATGGGCTAGGTGTGGCTGAAGGCTTGCTGGCCTGAATGGAGGGAGTGAGGCAAACGAGCCTGGCCAAGCAACAAAACCTCAGTTTTCAGATGGGTGGTTTGATTCCGAGTTCGGGGAAGTATTTGTTCTCAGAAGTGCCTGAGAGTCCAACTAGATGGTTTCATGTCTGTGGCCTCTGAAGAAGGTGAGGTCAGGCTATAATTAAAAATTTTGAAAGCTGCTTTACGAAAAACTCTGAAAGGCACTGAGTCATAAGTGCCGCTGTTCCTGTAGCCTGGTGGCATTTCATGACACTTAAAAAAGAGTTGCGTTCTCTCTACCTTCATATGGATCGTGAAGGTTACTGCTCTAGGAGCCCTCAGACGCCTACTGGGACTTGCACACCTCATGGTGGGAGGGCCAGCGCCCAGAGGGAGATGGTGAGGTCCAGAAGGCGTGGTTGCACCCTCAATAACATCCAGCAGAGGGTGCTAGAGCAGAAGGACAGAGCAATGAGTGTCAGGAGGTGGCTGAAAGGACCTGTTCGTACAACACACTCTAGGGAACCTCAAAGGGACTGAGAGATGGTTGGTAGAGGTTTGAGAAAAGGAGACGCAAGGGCTGAGGAAGCAGTCACACAGTGACAGAGATGAAAAAAACAAATGGTAGAAGTTGATGTGACAAGAGGACTTGGTCACTGATGGGATGAAGGAGCGAAAGAAGAACCCCAAATAAGGTTAAGATTGAAAATCTCAGTTTCAAGACAGCAAAGACTGGGAAGCTACCGAAAACATTAAGAAATCTAGGAAGAAGAGACTATTGAAGAACATCAGAGGAAGTTATGAATCCTACTTTTTACAAATTAGGAAAACATTCGGCTAGAGGTGTCTTCCATCCATCAATTCGCTCACTCACTCACTCAGTTGATGAGTATTTGCTGCGTATTTCTTCAGGGCTGGGCGCTCTTCCAGGTGTCGGGGATACAAACTACGTTGAACGAAACAGGTTCTTACCCTTGTAAAATTTAGAGTTAGTATGGGGGAGAAGATGGGATGAGAGAAAGTGAGGTAAGCAAACCAATAACTACATCATGAATTGGAGAACTGTAAAAAGGTGAGATGTCAAAGCTTCCAACATAGATTTGGAAGTCAGTAATTGCCAACCACTTTTAATACTGGTATCCTTGGGGAGCTTTTAAAAGCTTCGTTCTGGGGGCTCACTCCTAAAAATTTAGATTTTTTTAGGGTTGTGATAAGGTCTAAAAAGCTCCTTTAAAAAAGACTTCCTAGGCAATTCCATAGGGTGGGGGACAGATTTGGGACCTAATCTACTGATCCTGCTCCTAAATCAAGGCACATGAAGGCTCAATCCCTCTGAGAACCAGCTGGAACAAGACAGGGCTGGGGGCCAAGGATGGCACCCCCTCTGCCACGCCTGGCAGCCTGAAAAATGTCAGTTCTAACGATCCCACATCACTTTGCTCCTTTCTCTGCCTGGGACCAGTGAAATGAAAAGTTGTTATCTCTTTTTGATCAGACTGCAGCCCAAAGGGAGCTGTGATAAACTAAGAGTTGAAGCATAATGTCCATCCAGAAGGTTTAAGTTCATTCTGAGCTGCTTTTCGTTGGTAATATCTGAACTGGCTTGCTAGCGTGCAGAAAAGACACCTGTATCAAAATGCATGCATATGCAAGTATTAAGAAAAGAGCCACTGTACTTGTAGCTTTCTTGTCTTTGCAGATATCTATCTTAACTAGTAAAGAACAAGAAAGCATGGAGAAGCTCATTTTTTATGGGTCTATTCAGCTTTTAATAGTATAATGTATTCTTATTTAATCTCAATATCCATGAAACACAGCTGTTCCTAGAACAGTGCCTTAGATACAGAAGGCCCCACTAACTACTTATTAATGAAATGCATGAATAAATGCTCTAGACAGCAGATCTCCTGCGGTCTTCACCATCCAAGACATAATTACACGACTGTAAAAAAGGCGTCCTCTGAGATACAAGGTGATCCAGAGGGTTGGTGGGGAGAAAGTGGAGAACCACTGGACAAGTGTACTCGGGTTTTCCAAGACTTAAATTTTAGGACACGACAATCCAATTTGCTGTTTATAGATTTAACACTCAGACTCAGACACTGGGATTCAGGGACCACCACCACCATAAGTGCATGCATGCACACTCACGCACATGCACATACATGCACATGCCAAGCACAGACATGAAGCACAGGCACACCAGTGCTGCTTGCCTTGATAGTACTGATTAGCTCTCTCTCGGGAGGTCTTATTATTGCAGAAGAATTGATGAGAACATATTACAAGAAGGACAAGGAAACATCTTACTAAAACATGTACCTCATATCACAGGGACATGCATATTTTCCTTTCTTTAGACTGTTAAGGAGGAGGTAATTTTCAAGTCTAAAGAATGTGGAAATACAGACAAACTGGAGGTTTGGCATGCTTCACTGACTACTACTACTCTGCCCCTCCAGATATATGATCTTGATGAATTGCTTGCCCCAATGGTGCCTCGGTAAAATAAATATACTAACAGTTCTTACTCCAAACAACCAAAATGAGAATTAAATAATTTACCCTAAACATTTTGCAGTAGTAAGCACTCCGTGTATTCGCTATTATTGCTGTTTTGTTCATGTAGTCACTTCCCGTTTTGTAGCAGCACGGGTTCCTGGTTCCTAGAAGAGTAAATGAACTCTAACAGGCCAGAGGACAACGTCATATTCTCCTTAAGCCCAGCTTTGGAAAGACTTGTGTGCAAACCTCGGTGCTTGCTGTATGCTTGCTTCCCTCCACCCTCCCACCTTCTTGCCTCCTCACCCCACAATCCATGGAGCAGGCATCTCAGAGAAGGGGAGAACCAGTAAGAAGAACCCCACACTTGCCTTTCTTAAAATCAACATGACAATAAAGTCTCCTTTGAGGGGTTGTAGCTCTTAATAGGGCCTATTTTCTTTAACTCTGGGCAAGATGCTGGAATTTCTTTCTCTTAAGTACTGTAAGAAATGTCTTTTAGAATATAGTGACCTGGAATTAATAGCAATTGATGACAAACGCCATCTGGGCTCAAGTGTTTCCACAGAATGGGCCTCATTGTGTAAGGTCTTGCATAACGCACAGGTTCCCCCCTCCCCCATTAGTCACAGCCCCTGGGTCACTGGGTCGCTGTGCTGCAGTTACCACCACAGGGCTTGGCTCCTAGGCAATGCGCCTGCCGTGTCAAGGGAACCACTGTTCATGCCTGTGCTTTCTTGGACTACAGCTCCAAGCGAAAGAATGGCATTTGGTTTTCTCTTGAGCACTGCACATTCCAGGCCTCTCAAATCATGTCACAAAAGGAGGTCCTGAGTTCAGTGGCTTTGCAGGCAAACACAGCAACCATTCTGCCTTGACAACAGACTGACATGTGGCCACTTTAATCAAGAGCGAAAATGTCTTCCGGGCTATGGGCTGCTTCCCTGAGGTTTTATCTGTTATTTGGTTTTATCTGTTTCTATCTACTTTAATCAAGACAGAAATTGTCTTCCAGGCTCTGGGCTGGTTCCCCAGGGGCTTTTATCTGTTGTACAGTGAGCCGCCCATCCTGGCTCATTGGGAACTATCCAGATTTTAGCACTGAAAGTTCCACATCCTGGGAAACACCTCTGCCATGAGCAAGGCAGGCTAGCTGGTCACCTTACAGCTGTTAACAAGTTGGGAAGTTCCCAGAACCTGACAAACCACCAAGCAGTGTGGAACCGACAGGTTGAACCCCAGGGCCTGTACTTCAACCTGAACAGTAATTAGGATTTATGAGCTGATCAAGTGCAGATTAATGGACTGACTTCCAGGTCTGCGTACCTGTGTGCTTTAGAGGTTTCCACCAATGCCTTGTTCCATCAAAATGGCTCAATTAAATCCACACAACATGTCCCACTGGTATTTACTTCCTCCTCCAGCCCCAGCAAATATAGCAGGATGATGATGAGGGTAGAACGACCCTCCCCTTTCATTCCAGCTGTTCTCTGCCCCTGCTTGCCCATCATTTGTCAGAGAGGTCTTTCCATGCTGTCTCTGTTTCTGTCTGTCTGTCTGTCTGTCTCCTTTCATCATGGAAAGAGACCGGTCTAACCCAGGACATAGATGATGAATTCTTGGTACTTTAACGTTAAGTTAAACTATCTATGTACTCTGCGTCTTTGCCAGAGAGCCCTCACACTTCTGGTGGATGTGCAACACATTACTACTCTAGACTAGCACTCAGTCTGTTGTCTCATTGTTGTTACAGGTTGCAAAGAAGTTATCCTTAAAGATGAATGAAGTTGACTTCTATGAGCCATTCATGGATGAGCCCACTGCCATCCCCAACAAACCTTACACGGAAGAGGAGCTCGTGGAGTTTGTGAAGGAACACCAAAGGTGCCTGAGAGGGCATGTGGGGAAGGGAATCTGGGACCCGGTGAATGGGAAAGAGCCTCTCAGTGCTAATAATTCAGATCCACCAAGTGGAGCAACTTAAAGTACCCCAGGCAGAATATCGATCACTGATACATGGCAGTTATCACTTGCAAGTAGCATTAGACTACCTCTGCCCGCTCAGCAAATCTCCTCAAAGCCAGAGTGAGCTGTAAGTAAAATTCCATACTAGTGATGATAGCAATTTAGGAGAAAGCTTCCTGTATGTCAAGCACCATGCCGGGCACCTTATAGGAGCTACTTTATTTCATCTCCAATCTCATGGGGCAATATTATTTTAAAGATCAAGGAATATGACTCAGAATAGTTAAATACCTTAGCCAAAGATGAACATCTATGCACATAATTTCTAGGAGAGGAATATTTGATACTGTTTAGTAGCTTTAGCAGAGATCAGCAAACTTTTTCTCTGAAAGACCAAAGAGTAAATTCAGGTTCTATGGGCCAGATGCCCTCCTCTGCAACTGCTCAACCCTGCTCTTCCAGCACAGAAGTGGCCATAGCCTTTGTGCAAACAAATAGGATGGCTGTGTCCCAACGCATGTTTATTTACAACAACAAAACATTGACTAAATGGGTCACCAGCTGTACTCCGCTGATACGTTCTCCAGGAACAAACATGCGAACACGTACCACGGCAGGGAGCTCGCTGCCTTGCCCACCCTCCCTATGTGAACCTAGAACACCATGGTCCCTGTGTGCAGACAGTGCTAATCCCTGCAGAGAAGAAGTACAAGAAGAAACAAATATGAACACGCCTCGCCAACTGAGAGGCAAAGTACTTACCTAGCATGTGCAAGGCCCTAGGTTCAATGCCGAGTACTACAAACAAAAGAGAACAAAAAGCCTCATGGAGGTTGCCAACATTCAGAAATACGTGAAATTATGAGCAAAATATAGGTCCCACTTGCCCCCCCAAAGATCTCTAAGGGGCTTTGATGGATGATCCCCAAGATAAAACAATGGCTGTTCTGGCCTGGAACCAGTTTCCTCCTCTGGGACCTGCTCTGGGCTCTCAGGAATGCTACCTGTCTGTGAAGAGAGAAATGCTTTTTGCCCTAGGAATGAACCAACCCTGTGCCTCCGTTTATAATGGATTTGATTTGCCCTGGATCAAACGAGTCTAGGGACAGGTTCAGTGGTTTGGCTTAGATCTCTCTGGACGCAGCAGAGCAAAGCAGCTCTATCGCCTTAGGGCAGAAATGGGTTTGGGGGCTCTTCAAGCTCTTGGAAGTGAACCAGTAGCTCGTTTACATTTCCCAGGGCAGAGGCTCAGTCTCTGCCGTTGGTGATCCTTACTCAAGGTAGCACCTCCTTTTTTTTTCAGACCCACTCTCCGTCGCTTGAGGCCGGAAGACATGTTTGAAACCTGGGTAAGACTGCGGCGAATTCTGTCTTCCTTGCAGGGACAAACATATCTCCAAGAGGAGTGCCCTTCTGATGAAGTTCCAAGTCTCAGACTAAGTCTTATTTGGCAGAGCTTGATGTCTAGAGGGGGGAGTACGAGCATCTTTTTCGTTTAAACTCAGCTCTCCGTGGATCCAGGTTAAACCTCTTTGGTACCAGTCCCTGCTCATTCCCTCAGGAACTCCTGGCTTCTGTTCACAGCCCACCAGAGATTAGGGAGACATGCCAGAAGGAGCTCAGGCTACAAACTCATAGTTCAGGGTACAAGGACATATAGTACAGAATGGGCCACCTAGTAACCCTGTGACATACATCAAGACATATAATCTTCCTGAGCTTTAGTTTCCCCATGTAAAATCAGGACTGTTTGTAAGGATAAATGAGATAGAGTTCAGAATGTGATAGGTTCTGCATGGTAGCTCTTTTTTTAAAAAAATCAACTCCAGGCACTGGAAAGTGATGAAGACAGCTTATGCTACAGGCGTGAGTCACAGACAATGTCTCAGGTGGCTCAGACAGTATTTGAAAGAAGGCCTTGGAGACACACCTTCTGTCTCCACCTTAGATTTATACAGAAGTCCGTAGACAGTAAGAACCAGTCTCTGGAGCATCTTCTTACCGAGGCATCCCATGGATCCTTTTGCACAGAACTGACAATAGTGCTACACAGTGATGTAGAACAAGAATCATTTTAGCCCATTTTACATATGGAGAAATTGATGATCATTCAGATTATTATTCAAGGACATATAACTGTTGAACATTAGTTCTTAGGATTTGAATTTTTTTTTTTTCCGGTACCAGGAGTCGAACTCACGACCTCGTGCTTGCCAGGCAGGCGCTGTGCAGATGAGCTAAATCCCCAGCCCCATTAAATTAAGGCCTTTTGTAGACAAATTTCAGGTTCTCTCCAATATATTTCCTTCAAGGGACCATGTCCTCATGGGGTGTCATTTTGGTTGGAGGTACAGGAGAAAGGGACTAAGACAGAACCATTTATTTATGCAGTTCTTTAATTCATAATCTGAAGTGATGAGGGCACAGAACTTGACACTGTTTTGCTGGTTTGTAACTTATTTGGATTTCTGAAGGAGAGCAAACATTTCATAAGACTCTGTAGGACAAATAATTGCGTCTAAGGGTGTGTTTAAGAACAACCAGCACAATAGAAACCTGTTCCCCTAACATTTAAGCCTTTCAGAAAATTAACCTCTGAAAGGTCTTGTTTCTAAATTTAAATATTAATAACAAAAGGGTACATCAATACTTTAACATACTCCTTTTAAAAACTGTTTTCACTTTTTTCTCTAAAATAACTTTAGCTTTACAAAGGTAGTGTAAACAATTCCATTTTTTCTTCACAGATTCCCCAAATGGTAACATTTTTATTACCTTCACTTCCCCTCCCCCATGCATATTTTTTCTGAACTGTTTGAGAGTGAATAGTAGACATCATTTCCTTTTATCCCTGAATACCTCGTGTTTTTCCAGAACAAGAGTTTTCTCTCACAGCCACAGTACTATGATCAAAATCAGGAAATTCACACTAATGTTCCTCAACTCTAATCTAGAGACCTTACCCACACCGCGGTTATCCCACTATTGTCCTTTACTGCAAGAGCAAACCTTCTTCCCAGCCCACCATACCATGCCGCATCTCACACTTGCATTTGGTCATTACTAGGTGTTTTTTTGTTTTTTGTTTTGGTTTCCTTTCATCTTAAACAGGTTGTTGGTCTTTCTGTCTCTCAAAGCAGAAAATACCATTTGCAATTGAGAGCAGTTATTGCTGTTCTATTTTGCCATGTCTCTTTCTCCTTCCTCCTTTTCTTCCCTCCTTTCTTCCTTCTTTCCTTCCTTTGTTCCTTCCTTCCTTCCTACCTTCCTTTCTTCTTAATCCCTAAGAGACAATTCTGTTCCCTAGGCTCCCAGAAGGGAGAGAATGCACACATGCAGGACCCTTCCTTCTCCCAGGACTGTCTTACAGACATCTCAGTGTCACACCCAAGACCATGACCCCCATGGCTGGATAGCCCCTGTCCTCTGAACACACCCCAGGCCTACTGCAAAAATCCTTTTCTCACATCAGAGGCAGATGGTGAGAGAGACCTTTGCTGTTTGCCTTCATTTTTGCTGTCTTTTTACTTAACAAGATAAATTACAGCCTTTGCTATAATATGTGATAGCTCATATTTTTCACATTATTATGTATTCACTTGTTTGCTAACTGGGAAAGGTCATGCATTAAGTTTAGCAAAGTGGAGAAGATGACAACCAGAATGGTTTGCTCTACATCACCCTACTCCACACTGGCCACCTGCCCTCCCCAGAAGCCCTAACCAGGCCATCCAGGCCCTCACCTACATCTCTAAGTTAGGAGGACGGCAAAAGAGGCTCCTCCAGGGCTGCTATTGCCTCAAGAAGGAACAGAGGTGAGCAGGATTCCTGAGGAGCCATTCCCCAGTTCCCCTTCCCATCCACCCATGCCCGCCTTGGGAGGCCCTGCCCCAAAGGATTGGCTGCCGGAACTTAAAGCACAGATTTGTGAAAAGTGACCAATGAATGAACTTAAAAGACTTATCTTCAACATTTGCTTTTTCAGACACTGCAAAATATTTAAGTAAGCCAGGAAAGCTAGCTAGGCTAAAGCAACTATTTACCTTTTTCTCTCCCCTAATTGTGCAGATTTTTAAAAGTAGCAGATCATAACAAAAACATATCACATAAAATTAGTGCCAACAATAATTGCTGTCTGTAAATTCTAGAGCATTTATCTATTTATCTTTGTATTTATTTAGAATATTCAAAAAATATCAAGGTGCTACAGGGTGATCGAGTGCTGGTCTGTCAATGTTCCTTAGATACTCCAAGTGGTTAGCCAGTGTCCTTAGCAACGGCTCCCAAGGGATGGGAGTCAGCAGTTTGTTCTAAAAGAATCCTCCCTGCATTCCCATAGCAAAGTACTTCCAAGATGAGGCTGAAGACTCCTAGACAAGCCTCTAGGCCACTCCATTACACCTGAGTTAGGGGGCCTGCTAGTCTAAACTCAGCTTTTTTCTTCGTGTCTCTTCATTCACCATGAGAACATTCCATAGAGATGAAAAAATAGAGGAAATTATTGGCAATGGTAATGTCTGATTGGCAGGTAATTGATGGTACTAGTGTATTCTTAGCCCTCATATTTTCTAATTTTCTCTGATGATGAGTGCGTAAGATTTTCATGGCCACACTCTTCTTTTGAGTCAAGAGATATTAATAAGAACCTGTTACATTATGCTAATCGTGGCGTTATTGAAGTGAATGTTGCTGACTTGTTCTCAGGACCCCGTGCTTGAGTAGGTGAAGCAGTCTCAACATATGACCCCAGTCCACTATACTCACCGTTGCCACAGCGTGGCACCCAAAAGGCTGCGGAGGGGATCCAGAAGAGGATATTCACTGAAGTAACCCCCAAATCTTTGGGCCTTTTGGGGATCTAGTGCATGCTCACTTTATATACAGGCCTATTTTCAGTCTTTTTCAATTTAAAAGCCACCAATTCAAGTTCACACTTCCTGAAAATCCTCCCAAGGGGCGATCAGTTCCAGATGCTACTGTCGAGGAGTCTGTAGCTCCCCCAAATTCCTATTTGGAAATCCTAGCGCTCAAGGTGTCCTATTCAGAGGTGGGATTTAGAGAGGTGCTCAGGGCATGAGGGCAGAGCCTTCCTGACCTAAGCTTTAGCACCTTCATGAAAGAAGCCCTAGTACCCTCATGAAAGAAGCTCTGTAGAGCCAGCCAGGTCCTTTCACCTGGGGTGACACAGCAGGAAGGCTCCATGTACGAAGCAGAAAGCAGCAGCATCCCCTCATCTAATGCTAAATCACCAGTGCCTGCAGCTTGACTTCCCAAGCCCTGCACCTGGGAAAAACAAACCTGATCACTTTCTCTTGCTTACATGCTGCCCAGTTTATGGTATCTGTTATGGTGGCTAGAACACTGGGCTTTGGGACCCAGTAGAGCTGGCTTGAGTCCTACTTATGTCACTACTAGCTCTATGTCCTTATGTAAATCATTTTGATTTTTTTAAGATTTAAAGATGACTTTCATTAGAGACTTAGAGTGAAGACATTTGCAAAGTAGTTAGACAAAAAGTGGCAGCTGGCAGATACGGTTACCATGTTAATCATCCTTGATATTTGAAGGCCTAATCCCTTCTCTCAGAGCTTGCCATCTAGCTGACGAGGGAAGATTCATGAGATTAAAAAGAGAATTTCAAGGCAGTGTGATCCGAAGGCAAAATCGGTGTCTGGGTAGCAAAGATGTCAAGGCTCAGAGGAGGCCCTCAGCTGGGCCCTGGGCTCACCAGGTCCTGTGGTCAGCAGTGTCCTCCTCCTCATTCATGCTGGGTTCTCATCACGCAGCCCCCTTACAGGCTTGTCACCCATGGATCCTTGCTCCATGAGTTTATTACTGAAATACCTGGCACCTAGCATGCACCAGCTTCTTCACAGGTGTTCAATACAGGTTCGTGCGCTGAATCTGTGAGATGCACGCAGAGAGTGGCTCGGTCCCTTGGCTACAGTTCTCCATCCAGGGACTGCATAGGCCCGGAGAATGACAGGCATATTACGAGCAGCCTCTTAGAAAACGAATATGGATTCTTCATTCTAAAACCAATTTCCAAGCGCGTTCTAGAAGGGCACACAGAAATGAGGCTTGCGTCTCAGAATTAACAGAGCTCACTTCCGACTGATGGCAGGCGACAGAGACACAGGGCTGCCTAATGAGAACTGATCAGGATATTCTGTCCGGCGATAATAGCAAATGTAAAACAGTGAAACTTCAGACTCCCCTTCTGGTTGCTGTCGGATTTGTGTAATAAACTGGCACGCACACACGGATATATCTGTAAAATTCAATTCCCCAGAGTATCTGACTGAGGCAACGTCCACTCTCTTGCTCTTAATAATAATATTTTCTATTGAATCTCTCATAGAAGTTTTGGAGGTTTTATCCATTGTAAAAGCAAAGGAAAAAATTAGCATTTAGATAGGATTGCACCAGCATTAAAATCAATTGAAATGGAAGTGGAGATCAGAGGAGGGTTGAGACTCTGGGACATTTTTTTCCCGTAGGACGATTCTGACATTCAAGGTGCCCAATAAACACTTCTCTACATCCCCTGAAATCAGGGCTCCCTGGGCTCTGCCCCCAGTGCCTCAATCTCTCACATATTCCTGTTCAAGGCTCCTGAGGATCACGTTTCTTGGCAGAGAGGCCCCTCTGAGTGCCTGCTCTCCCTTCTCCAGGAATAATGAATGCCAAAAAGACACAGGCAGGTGGTCATCCCTGTCTAAGGTGTGGACACACGGCATGCCCCTGGCTTGCCTTAGAATTTGAAATACTGTCTCCAGTTTCATTTTTCTTGCCCTGCCCCCACAGCCACTCCCTGTTCTCAGGCCATGGGCCTGAATTCCAGGCTCTCTTCCCCTCAGCAAACTTTAGGTTCAGAGCCGAAAGGACCACAAGGAAAGCACCTGGAGTGCACAGTAACGGAGATGTCCCTTACTTATTCCGTGGGTCCCATGGCCTCAATCAGAAATGTTGTGGAGTCCAGACTTTTGCATGATTCTTGTGTGGACTATAGCCGCATCCAAATGGACCTGGAGGAGCCCTGTCTGCTGCCCATTTGAGGATAACTTCAGGAGCTGTCAGCAGCTGTCCAGTGTTTCCAGAATCTGATCCATCACTGACTTTCTCTCCTGGTGGGGGAATCCCTGCAACAGACTGACATCCCCCAGAGGCCTCCAGACTGCTGCTTGCCCGCGGAGCTCTGATAAACCAGAGTTACATTCTTCTTCATTTTGCTTTTGGCTGCCACTCTTCTGGAATCACCAGACCGCAGGAGCGAGCCCCACTTAGTGCTAGGGTCTTGGGCATAGTTGCTGTTTTCTTGGCTTGTAAACCCATTCGTCTGAGTCCCTGATCAAAATTCCATGCATTCCTGCAAGCTGCTTATCAACGTTCCCTTCCTTTTTTCTTCTTTTCTTTTCTTTTTTCTTTTCTTTTTTCTTTTCTTTTCTTCTCTTCTCTTCTCTTCTCTTCTCATTTCTTTTCTTTTTCTTTCTCTTTCTTTCTTTCTTTCTTTCTTTCTTTCTTTCTTTCTTTCTTTCTTTCTTTCTTTTCTTTCTCTCTTTCATCTTTTTTGAGACAGGGTCTCGCTATGCAGTTCAGGCTGGCCTTAAGCTCACTGTGTAGCCCAGGCTGGTCTCGAACTTGCAACGATCCTCCTGCCTCAGCCTCCCAGGTGCTGGGATTACAGGCATGGGCCACCACACCTGGCCCAGTGTTCCCTTCCTTAACATGCACTTTGCCTGTTTCTCTCTGCTTCTGTGTCATTCCCTACCCTCCAACATTTCTATCCCCACCTCTGGGACCCTGCTTCTGGTACCTCCCTTTCTATCTTTCCACCTGAGAGTGTAACATCTGATTCTTTTCTCCTACAGGAAGATGATTTGAATGGGATCCACATTGTGGCCTTTGCAGAAAGGAGTGACCCAGGTAGGAACCCCCACTCTGCATAGCCTTAGCAAGAATAGACTTCTGGTCTTCATCAGCCGTCGCTTTCTCTTCCCTCCCCTCCACCCACAATGCAACCACAAGACACTGGGCTCCCCCTGGTGGCTGCCTGTTCAGCACTGAGTCCTGCCGTGGTGCACACAAAGGAAAGAGATGCAGACAGATGAGAGCTTCAAACCTTCTGCTTAGAGGCCCAAACTGAGAAGCAGCATTGGGCACTGAGAAGGGTAACCAAAGCATCCTAGCCTTGCAGGATGTGTGCGTGTGTGTGTGTGTGTGTGTGTGTGTGTGTGTGTGTGTGTGTGCGCGCGCGCGCGCTTCTGCTCACATTAAATGTTTGTTTTCCACTTTCGTGATCTACCTATATAGATCACTATCCTATATTAACCTGATAATAAATGTGTCCTTTAACAGTATAAAAATATTTCCTTAAGTAATAAGAAAATGAGAAAACCAAGCAGCTTCTTTTACAAAGTGCAAAATGACCCTATAAATGAATGAATAACTTCGTTTTATTTTGGCAATTTGCATAACTTCTCCTTGGTTTCCCTCTTTCAAAACCTATAGAGAGGAAAGTGCAGGAAAGGTTAATTGAACGGGGGTAAGCATCCCTACGGTGACGTCCAGTGAGATACACAGACCCCTAAGTGTAAATGGAGATTCTGAGATGTCTTTCAGGAGACTTGTAACGATCCAGAATGCAACTAGCGAAGGCAAAGAATTTCATTGGCAGTGGCCCAGTGGGCAGACCTTGGACACGAGATGCTTGTTGGGGACACCAAGACCTGACAGTGCCCAGACTGAAAGCACCGAGGCTGCCTGGGCTGCTGAGACAGCACCATCATGAATGTGTGACTTCACGGGGCTCTGAGGCAGGCTGTGATGTGCCATTAGCCCTGGGAACCACTGTTCAGGGTAATGTGGGATTACATGTATTTGTCAGGAACCTCAGCCTCCTTCTTGGGGTAAGTCTAGCACTTTCCTCCACTGGGGATGAGGAAACAGAGGGTCAGAGTTTAACAGACTGCCCAAGGGGACACACCGTGAAGGAGGGGCTACTGTCTGTCTCTGCACACTCACCACTCACAGTGCCTTGACATATGGTAGATGCCCAGGAAATACTATAGGGCACAACAATAGTCAGTGGACTGTCCTACAGACTGGAACAAGATATATTGCCATACAATTTTTAAAATGAAAATATAATACATCTTAATAGTCACCCTTTACAAAGTATGTAGATTGGTGGGTTTTTGTTATATTCAAAAGTTGTGCAAACATCACCACTAATTCCAGAACATTTTGAACACTTTAAGGTGATGAAAAACCTCATTAGTAGTCACTTACCACCTCTCGTTCTTGCTCCTGGCAACCGCTAATTTCTTACTGTCTCTGTAGATGTGTCTAGTCTGGATGCTTCATATAAATAGAATCATGTAGTATAAGACCTTTTGTATCTGACATCTTTTACCTAGCATGATGGTTTAAGGTGTATCCTTTTAAGGTCCATTCATAGTGTGTTTAAGTATTTCATTCCTTTTTAAGGGTTGAATAATATTCCATTGTATCATCTGAGAGTTTCTTCCATCTTTTTTACTAAATTGTTTGAATTTCCCTTGATGTGCCATATTTTCCATTATAGACTTGCAGAGTTGGAAAGCTGCAAGGAAATCTAGGCCTTCAAAAAAAGTAGTCAGTGTAGTTTCAGCTTCTTTTCACAGACTGTGGTCACCTCCTTGCTTCTGGAGGAGAAAATAGCAAAGAAACCCATTTGCCTAAGGTTTACAAGCTACAATCAAACAGAATCAGATCCCTGGTACTGTGTGAACAGAGATGAGGTTGCCACTGGCAGCCGACTGCTGGCTAGACTCCAGGGGCTTCCACCCCACCTCCCCCCATTCCATCCTCCATTCCAGGATTAGGGGAGGCCTGTCTGGCTCTCCGGAACAATAGAACAAAGAGGCCTCCCTGAAGTTGCCGAAACCTGTTTGACAGAGATTGCTGCTGTAATGAATCAAGCTCCTGAAACTATTTCCACCTCCTCCCTACACAAATATCCCTGGGCCTGAAGCGCTGCCTTTCCCAAAGAGTCCAAGCTGGGGCTTGTCCCTGGGAAGCTGAAGCCGAGCAGTGGGGCGGGGTTAGGGGGCGCTCCAGGGACATGGTCCTTCGCAGGGGCTCAGGAGCTTGCCACTCAGGCTGTGAAAAACAAAGGCTTTTCTGTGAAAATCCCCAAGTTAGTGTAGTCCCTGTAGTTAGTGGTTTACCTGCAGGGCACTGATGTGCAACCTCGGACCAGAGGGCTGGCTGCAAGTCTAGGAATTTCACTCCTGCGTAGGCAGTTCCTAGCATTCCTTTGCTCTTACTAACAAGTTATAGACTATTGCCTAATCAGACCGCTGCCTACCTATCAAAGAGGAAGGTTACATATCCAGGAAAACGTGCAGCTCTTCTTCAACAGAAAGCAGTGTAGAGGAAATGTGTCAGGGCTTTCTGGAGAGCATCTCCTTTAGTCCTAAAGCTGTTCTGTGATATGTGCTTGATCATAATTCCAGAGTCACATCAGGAGAGTCTTAGAAGCTAAGTAACTTACCCACTTCACTCTGTATCTCAGCCAAGATTCACATTCCACAGGCTTGATGGACTTCTAAATGCATCTGGGTACGATGAAAGTGGTGGTGATGGTCACTTACCGTAGGCTTTGTATGACATAACAAACCCAAGAGAGAGGTTCTATTTTAATCCCCATTTTATAGCTGAGGCTGAGAGAGGTGAAATTCCTGGGAAGCAGTGGAATTAAACTGAGGGCTGTCTGCTTTCCCAGCCCTCACACTTAACGACAAGGCCCTCCCGCCGGCCACCTCACACACCACTGAGTTCCCACCCCAAGGGCCTCTTTCAGTGGACCTTTCTCCCTCTGCTGTTTTTCACCTCTACCTCCAACATTTTAAAGACGAGAGAAGGAATAGCCAGACTAATTCAGTGACGTGCTCAGGATGACAGGGATGTAGACACAGCTTAGATTTCTTGAGGGTTCCTGGTTGCCATCCACCCTATCACTCTTCTCGCAGGCCAGCTACAGGTTCTGAGCATTCATCGTGCTGCTGCAGTGGAAGGGGCCGGGGAAGGGCGGCAAGAACCAGCGGAGTGTACGTTGAAATGCAAAGAGATCCAAGCCGCTTAGAAGCCTGAGTGCCTAATTAGTGAAGACAAGTCCGACTTCCTCCCACTTTCCACTGATCTTGTCAGATTTGGAATCTGACATTCTGAAGCAATAACGATGCACATCTATCCTAGTGACCTGCACCCCCAGGGACTCTTGCTGCCATCCCAGACTTCACAGCCAGAGTTTGTGTTCACCTTTGCAGAAAGCCGAGGACATCAGTGCTCAGGGAGAAGGCAGGATCTGCTTGCCAGGCCTGGAGCATAGGTTTCCCTCCTATGAAAAGTCCTGATCCAGGACCAATGGTAGGCTGACTAGGAGGGGTATTTTCTAGGCCCTCTGCTCTTGCTGGTTGCATGCTTCAGGCCATGGTCTTCTGCCTGGAGCCTTCTTTCCAGCTGGTGCGCTCAGAGCACCAGTCAGAGCTGCTTGCTTGACAGGTTTGGAAATGAACGACTCTCTTCCATGCCACCCCCAGATGTATCTGTATCAGGCTGACATCTTCTTTATAACACTTGATGAAAGGTTTGCAAAGCAGCGTTTCTACATGAGTGCGTGCAGGATGGATATCCTCCAAGGGCACCGGGAATATCAGTGCTAACAAGCTGGAGATGCAAGGACAGGCTGCTGTCTGCAAGGAGTGGAACAGAATTAGTGATGGGCCTTGGGAGGAATTCTCCAAGCCCTGTTGCACCTGACCTTCCACTGCCTCACATTCCTGTAAAAATGCTTCTGAGACCAATTTCTAAATTTGACTTAGGAAGTTCAATATTTGATACTTGTTAGGTATTAAACATCATATCAAGCACCTAACAACTATCATTGCATTTCATTTTCACAGCAACCCTTTGGGTAGGGACTGTAAGATCATCTTCCCAGTGTGCAAGTGGGGACGAACAGGTACAGAGGAGATTCAAGCCCAGCAGTCCAGCACAAAGTCTGTGGTTTATAACCACCACCTTATATTTCTTTGCATCATAAAAGTGTATCAGTTGACTTTTTTGCCAAATCTTTGATCCAAAAAACAGGAAAAGACAGAGCGGAAAAGAAAACATTAGGGAAAGAGTAAGATATTCCTTTGTCTCAGATGCCAGGCAAAAGCCATGGGGATCCACATAAAGTACTGTTCTAAGAAGGTGTATCATGCTAGCAGATAGCTTCTTAGAGATTCTGTCTTCTAAGGACAGCTCCTAGCCTTTTCTGTCTTTCTAAGGCTTGCCAAAGCCCACTAGTTCACAAAATACTGCTTTTGAAAACTATCACAATTTCTAAGGAGACTCTCGCTTGAGAATCCTAGCCCTAACCCTAACTCTAACCCTAACCCTAACCCTAACCCTAACCCTAACCCTAACCCTAACCCTAACCCTAACCCTAGCCCTAGCCCTAATTCTAACCTCCAAGAGAGGATCCAAGGGTGTTACCTGCCTTACGTGCTTTTGTGTCTCACCACCTGATCTGGGCCTGAAACATTGTGGGCACTGAAAATATACCTATCTGAGGAAAATATGAACCTTTTCCATCAATGAAGGATGAAAGTTATAGGACATAAAATCTTCAAAAAAATAATGAAAAGTTGATGAGGGTGAGGGAGAAAAAGGAAGAAAACAGAAAATATAAGCCCTTCTGCATGTGTCCTGCTCTTTCCCATGATGATAATAGTGTCTTCTTATTGTTAGGAAACTCAGGAAGGAAATAGGTAATTGTTTTCTGCATTTTCAGAGGAGGGAATGGAGATACCAGAGGGCTTAAGGGACCTGTGCAAGGTCTCCAAACCCCAGACCCCATATCCTCTCCAGATAGAACCTCCAAGCTGCATGAT